AATAGCTGGAAGAAACTTTGGGCAGAAAACTAACGGAAGCTAGAGAACAATCTAAATATAAACAAACAGAGGATATCAAGAGAGATAGAAATTATTACAAGGAACCAAATAGAATAATTCTGAAACTGAAATGTACAACAAATTAAATGAAAAATTTGAAAATCTCAACACTGATGAATCTTTAGCTAAAACTGACTAAGAAAAAAAGAAAAGATGCAAATAATTAAAATCAAGATGTAAAGTAGGGGCATCATTATAATGCTTGCAGTGGGGGGAAAGGATTAGAAGGGAATAATATGAGGGCACCTGTCTGAGCAGGGAGCCAGACACCAGGCTCGATTCCACGACCCTGGGATCATGACCTGATCTGAAGCCAGTCACTTAATGACCAAGCCACCCAGGTGCTCCTATTTTCTTATTTTTTTAAGACTTATTTATTTATTTATTTTAGAGAGAGAGAGCATGGAGGGGAGGGGCAGAGGAAGATATTCTTGAGCAGACTCCCTTCTGAGCAAGGAGCCCAATGCAGGGCTCAATCTCACAATCCTGAGATCATGACCTGAGCCAAAATAAAGAGTGGGACCAACTGAGCCACCCAGGTGCCCCGCTTTGAAGCAGCTTTCAGAAAAACATTTTTTTCCCTTCTATCTATGGCTAATTGATTTCTGACAAGGGGGCCAAGGCCATTTACTAGGGAAAGAACAATCTCTTTACAAATGGTACTGGATATCCACATGTAAAAGAATGAAGCTGGACCCAGACTTCACACCACATACAAGAATTAACTCAAAATGGATCAATCACCTAAATATAGGAGCTCTTATAAAAACTCTAAGAAGAAGACACAGAAACAAATGTTCATGATTTTAGATTTGACTATTAACAGATTCTTAGATAGGACATTGAATGTACAAGCAATGAAAGAAAAAAAATATCATCTGGAATTAATAAAACTAAAGGCATGTGTACATTAAATGGGGTCTGGTATCCAGATGGGTAAAGAACTCATACCACTCAGCAACAAAAAGATAACCAAATTTAAAGGTGGGGAAAGGAAAAAAAAAATAGGTAAAGAACTTGAATAGCCGTCTCTCCAAAAACATACTTAAATGGCCAATGAGCCCATAAAAGACGCAAACCAAGGCCAGAATGAGTCACCCCTACATACCCACTGGGAAGGCAATAATAATAATAACAATAATAATTTTTAAATGGAAAATAAGAAATGTTGGACAGTGTGGAGAAATTGGAACTCTTTATTGATGTAAAATGTTTCATCCTCTGTGGAATGTAAAAAGGTTCGTCCTCTGTGGGAAACAGTGTGGTGGTTCCTCAAAAAGTTAAACATAGGATTTCCATATGATCCAGAAAGTCAACTCCTAGGTCTGTGTACCCCCAAATAATTGAAAAGTGTTCTGAAACAAACATAGGCACACACATGGTTGCAGTAACAGGACTGACAATAACCAAAGGGTAGAAACAGCCCAGATGTCATCAGTGAGTAATCAACAAATAGTGGGACGTGCATTCAACAGTCTATTATTTATGATATAATGAAGGCTAATACAGGCCACAGGAAGGATGATCCTCAAAGACATTACACTAATCAAAGGAGCTAGACCCCAAAGGTCACATATTGTATGATTCTATCTATATGAAACATCAGAATAGATAGATCCATGGGGGAGAAGTTGATTGGTAATTGCCAGGGGCTGGGGGAGAAGGGGATGAAAAAACTGTATAAGAGTAGGAGGTTTTCCAGTAATGGGAGGGTTTCAGGACTAGGGACAGGTGGCTGGGATTGCACAATACTGTGAATGTACTAAAGGCCACTGTACACTTTAAAAAGGTTAATTTTAGGGTGCCTGGGTGGCTCAGTGGGTTGGTGCCTCTGCCTTCGGCTCAGGTCATGATCCCAGGGTCCTGGGATTGAGTCCCCAGTCGGGCTCTCTGCTCAGCAGGGAGCCTGCTTCCCTTCCTCTCTCTGCCTGCCTCTCTGCCTACTTGTGATCTCTGTCTGTCAAATAAATAAATAAAATCTTTAAAAAAAAAAGGTTAATTTTATGTTATGCGAATTTTACCTTAGTTTTTAAAAAAGCAAGCCATTCAGAAATGTCAGATTGCTCACAATCTCAGCTTGCCCCATGAACCCCCAAATTCAGGAGTCATAACTGCTTTGGCCAACTCACAGGTCATCAGTAGTAATTTCATCCCTCTACAATTTTATCTAGAACTCCTGGTGGCTCTGAGGTTCTAGAAAATAGAGCAGGAATATTCTCGTGATGTTAGCTCACAGCAGGCCACTAGTGCTAACTTAATGGGAGCAAAGCCTTGGGAGGTTGGGAGGGCGGAAGGGGGAGACTGGGGACACAACACTACAAGGAAAGAAGTGTCCTCCAAGCAAATGCCTTCGGCTCCACGGAGCTGCCAGGCCCCTGTCCCTGTACGATCACAGGCCGGGCCTCCGCTCCTTCTAAGGTCAGTGCACCGACGGATGTCAGGTGTGCCCCCGCATCCCCACGGCTAGGTAAGAGCAGGTCAGGCCCCAGCGCGCGCCACTTACAGGCCCTGCCAGCCCTGCCCCAGGTGGGGCGGGGCTGGCGCCGTGGGCGGGACCCGGCTGGGACGGGGGCGGGACCTGGGCGGGGCCGGGGCGGGGTCTGCGCCGGCGCGGGGGTCCGGGAGGGACCGGCGCTCGGCCAGCGGCGTAAACACCGCCGCAGCGTCGCGGCGGAGCAGGTGAGCCGGCTGGTCCGGAGCGTGCGGGCGGGGCTTGGTCTCCCGCAGCGACCCGCGAGCGGGGTGCTGGCCCCCCGCAAGCCCCTCATCGCGGCGGGTCGCGGCCCGTTCCCCGGCGCGGGGCTGCGGTCCCTGTGCGCGCCTGTCCGGCCCCTGCGGCCGGCGCAGGGGCGGAAAGGGGAGCTCGCGGGGAAGCGGCGGGGGCTGACCAGGACCTCGGGGATGGAAGGAGTGCGGGGAGCGGCCCCCAGGCCTGGGCCTGCGCGGGGCTGTGTCCGCCTCCCCGCGGCCCGAGCCCGCTGGTGGTAGGCGCGGTGCGGCCCGCTGGAGGGCCGGGCATTTAAAGAAGCAGCGCACGTGGGTCTGGGAGGCGCGGGCACGGCGTCCTCCCCGCGCTGGGGCCGCCTTGGCTCCCGGGCGGATGGGCCTTGGAAGCAGGGGGTAGGCGAGGGTCTGACTGCCAGGGTTGGGAACCGACCGCAGATCGGGCCTGGAGCCGGCGATTTCGCTATCAACGGTGCTTGGCCGTTTTACAGCGGTGGGGAGACTCCCAGAATCAAGCTTTTGAAGCTGAAGAAAACTGAAACAGAGGCCAGTCCCCACCCCACATTTTATTCATGAAGAAACTCAGCCCACAGAGGTAACGCAGCTGTCCAAGGCCACCCAGATGGGATAGAGCAGAGCCAGGCTCAGAACCCGCAAAGGGGGGAATCTGCTTTCCAGCCCTGGCACCAGACCTCAGCCCTTGGGGAGTAGGATGAAATGCTTCTGTCTGCTGAATTAATGAGTATTTCCTTTTTGAGGAATGAGCTGTGGGTTCGTGGACTAGCGGCGTCCCCATTTACAGATGGAGAACCTGAGAGGATCCCCTCCAGAGCAGTTGCAGAGCCACCCTAATGGTCAGCCTGGGCTTTGGGGCGGGAGGGACAGTAACTTGATCAGGACCGACCCTGGCTTCTGGTGTGGTGCCCTTGATGTCCATTCTGTAGACACCTGAGCCTCCAGTGCTTTCAGCAGTAATTAAAGGCTATGGATAAGCTGCTTCAGGTGTGGGAGCCTCAGGGGGCCCTCTGCCTGAAGGTAGCTGTGTGGGAGCGGGCAAGTGTGTCAGCAGCTGTGTTTTCTGGAGCCGGCTGGTGAAGGGGCAGGGGTCCTGGGGCCAGCTCGGAGCTGCAGCCTCGGGCAGACAGGCAGGCTGGCGGTCCAGATTCCTTCCTGGGGTGGAAGGAAGGAGGCTTTAGGTTTAGGGCTGGAAGTGGGGGGCTTGGAGGAACATTTGCTGCAGAGTGGGCAAGAAGTCATTTCAGGATTTCAGGGAAAATTCTGCATGGTTAGGTGTCCAGGTGGCTGTGCGCCAAGTCTAGGGTCTTGGTGCATGCAGCGGGCAGGGGGCTGGATGACATGAATGCCCTGTTCCTGTCTATCGGAGAAGGAGCAGCCTAAGAAAGTACCTGGCTCCACTCGCGTACCTGGAGGTCTGGGGTGTGTTGCCAGGCCTGTCACCTGCCCCTCAGCACCTCGACGGCTGCTCCCAGTCCCACCGCACACACGGGTTTGCCAAACAGGAGGCCTCCCCTCCCTTGGCCTCTGAGTTATTTTTCATTTTTATTTTTTAAGGTTTTATTTATTTGAGTAATCACTATACCCGACGTGGGGCTTGCACTCACAACCTGGGATGAAGAGTCGCATGTTCATCCTACTGAGCGGGCTGGGCGCCACAGGCACTACTGAGGGTGAACTTGAAGAGTGTCATACACAGTGTCTCTCTACAGCTGCAGCCACACAAAAGTAGCTAGTATTTTTACCCACTACAGTAATGGGAAACTGAGGCTCAGGGGGTTAAGCCACTTGTCCTATTAGGTGCCTTTGGTGACTAGAGCACCAGGATTTGAACCCAGCTGGCTGGGTCTTAATCTTTTGAGTTTTTGCAGAGGGAGGCCTCCCACATTTGCTCCCTACCTGTGTCCCTGCCCTACTCCTGGACATTTCTGTGTGCTCTCCGTTAGTAGCTACCTGACAAAGCAATAAAAATAATAATTTTTAAAAGATTTTATTTATTAGAGAGCATGAGAGCATGAGTGGGGGGAGGGGCGCAGGGAGAGGGAGAAGCAGGCTTTCCGCTGAGGGGGGAGCCTGACATGGGACTCAAAGATCCCGGGACCCTGAGATCATGACCTGAGCTGAAGTCAGACACTCAACCCGCTGAGCCACCCAGGTGCCCCCAAATAATTTTTTCTAAAGAGACCAAAGCAGTGTGTGTGGGTAGATCACATGCGTGTTTCTACTGAAGATATCTTTGGCTGGTTTACAGCTCTTGCTTTGAGTTTGGCGCGTTGTTTAGTTGGGGAATGGCAAGACAACCAGTGTTTCTGCAAGTATTCCCACCTGTCCCCCGACTCCAGTGGCTGCGGGGAGGGCCGGTGGAGGGGATGTCAGGGCTCTGAGGCTGGCGGAGGCTTCCCCCGGCCAGGGCCTGGGAGGGGAGCTTGATCGGGGCCTCAAGCCTTGTGTAACCAGTGTTGACCTCCAGGCCGGGAGGTTGCGAGGCTGCCGTGGTAAAGTCTGGGGAAAGACCAGATGTCAGGGACATCAACCTTGTCCAGCTTCTTCATTGCCTGGAAGAATGGGTTGCTCGTTCACCTTTGCTGCAGTATGGTCTTCTGGAGCACAGGAAGAAAAATGGAAAGGGTGCTCACCTTTCTTCTGTACCTTAACCAGAAAATCTGTGGCTTTATAGAGATAAAGATAATACATGTTTAGGAACTGTTTTTTAAAAGGTCCTCCCTTTGCTCTCAGCTCAAAGATAACCCCCGTCAGCATACGCTTCCTTACAGCAGTGCACGCACATACATAGAATTCTTTATGAAAGTGTCGGAGGCAGGAAGCTGGGCGTGAAGTTTTGTATCCTTTTTTTTTCTGTGAACGTTCCATCTTCAGAATGTTCCCTTCATGAGTATTCTTGCATATAGAGAACGTGAGCGTGTCATTATTGATCTGACTAGTGCGTAGCAGGACACTTTACCACCCTGAACCCACCCAGAGAAGCAGCATGCAGACTCCAGCCCCCTCCCCACCATGTGGAGCCCTAGTAGCAGACAGACGGAAGGCAGAGCAGCCCCCAAGCAGGAGTGAGGGGCTGGGGGCAGGAGAGAGAGGAGTGAAGCCCTGATCAGGAGGCGTTTGTAATTCTAAGACCTCTTGTCTGTGTTTTGGAGAAGACATTTATTAAAGACATGCCTCCTAAGGATGAGAGTGCCCCCAGAGAGCCCCCCTGGGGTGCTGTGCCGTGCCTGTGTGTGACCATGGCCCTGGGCCACTCAGAGTGTGCGAGTCTCAGGCGTTACTCTGGGTGAGCGGGGCAGTTGGCCGACCTGAACTGCCGCCAAGGTTTTGGCCCCTCTGGGCTCCAGTTTCCTTAACTACAAACTAGGGCACTGACCAGATGGCCTTTAAGGTCTGTGCCAGCTCTGGCGTCTGTCCTCTGGATGTGCGCTCGCCTTTGACAAAGCGCTTATGTTGCCAGAGGGCTGGGGCTAGGTGGAAGCCGTGTCTCCCCGGGGCCTGGGTGAGGGGTGACCTTGGCCGCTGAACTCTCGTGTCTAGTGGTTTAGCGCACGTGCTACTTTCCAAGGGGGCATCAACAGCTTCGCTCCCGTCCCGCTGTATTGCTGCCTATGTTCCGTCTGCACGGTAACTGCTATTTCCCAACACCTGCTCTGTGCCGGACACTTTACACATTATCCCTCGTTTTCACAGGACTCTTGCAAGGTGTGTCCCTTCTGCTCCTTTCCAGATGAGTCCATCGATTGTCTCGGGCCACGCAGCCAGGGAGCGTGTTCGAGTTCCACAGCTAGGTGGTTGGATCGCTGCTTCTCGCTTAAAAAGAGCCCTTTTATCCTGGGCCCTCCTTGAAGGTGGCGTGTTAGGGCCACGGCCTCTGCCGCTTTTCCCAAACTGCCCCCTCTCCAGGTTACTTCAGGACATGAGGGAGGTCTGCCTGCGCTCTGGGCACTTTTGAGTATAAGATGGCAGACATTGGTAGATGGAGAGCCTGGGTCCCCCTGGGGCCTCTGGTCTGGGAGGGTGGAGCAGCCCTCTTCAGGGAGGCGCTCTGGCCAAGGCTGCCTCCCTGGGTTGGGGAGAACCGTCTGGTGAATGATGGTGCATCCTGGTTTGGGCTGAGGTGGACAGAGAGAGGGATGAATACCAACCAGGACCAAATACAAGTTTGGCTGCCCTGGGCCCGGGGAGACAGGGAGGCACGGGAATTCCCAAGGGAAGTTTGTCCCTTGCAAACCACTCCCAGGTATGAGGGAGGCGGTGAGAACCTCCCGGGAGCCCAGCGGGGTATGGGTGACCCTAGGGAGGGGTCTGTGCAAACCTGAGCCACCCCCTTTGAAAGTGAGGGCTCCCGGTTCAATTCGGCCTGCTGCAGGACCCTGACCTTCCTCTGTCGCCCCTCCTGTTTGAGGTAAATGCAGTAACTCCCACTTTGCTTCTGGAGGAGTGATTTACATCTTTTTCCAAGGAGGAGCTCTCGGTTACTATGGCGTTTTACAGTCTGTCTCTGGAATGAGAAGGTCAAGGAAAATGGGTCACGGGGTTTCCTTAATAACCGCAGGAGCTGCTGACACAGGCATTCTGGGGGAATTCTCTGGGTTGGACTCACCGGGTTTGGCTAATTCAGCTTTTCGATCTCATTCAGCTGATTAATGGGAGGAAGTGGTGGCTTCTCTGGCTGTGTGGGTTTTGCACCTAACGCAAGCCAGGCAGCCCGCAGTCCCTGGGAAGGGCCGCCCCTCCTCCTGTAGGCCGTTGGAGGCTTCCTCGGCCCCCTCCCAGCTGGAGGAGGGCTGGTTGCTATGTGGTTGGTAGGACCTGCCAGGGGGTGGCAGTGAGAGCCTCTGCGCCCCCCCCCCGCCCGCCCCAGTCCTCCTCCCACGGGCGATCCTGACGTCACTGTCGCCCTGATGTGGACAAATATCGAGTAAGATTGTTGATCCGCATCCATCTGGGGGGTGGTTTTCCCCTCCCGAGATTTCGGAGTGCCGTCAGGCTTCGGTTCCAACCTGGAAGCAAGAGGAGTACTTCCCAGCTGCTCTGCTCTCCAGGAGCCAGGTAAAAAGAGGGGCCGCGTGTCCACCTGTCCCCCTCCCCCCACCAATCCCATGAGGGCACGCAGGAGTGGCAGGATGGGAAGGAACTCTGCCTCTGTGTTGATATTCCATATTTTCCTTTACAAAATTAATGTCTTGGGGTGCCTGGGTGGCTCAGTCTATCAGGCATCTGACTCTCAGTCTCAGCTCTGGTCTTGATCCCAGGGTTGTGAGTTCAAGCCCTGGTCTACATGCTGGAGCCTACTTAAAAAAAAAAAAAAAAAAAGAATGGCTAAAAAAAAAAAAAAAAAAAAAGACAACAGGCACAATCCGTGTTTATAATAGAAGGTTTGAGAAATGCAGGAAAATGTGAAAAAATGGCCCACAGTCTCAGCATTCAGAGGTTAACTGCATTTGGTGTTTTGTGATCTGCCTTGCCAGCCCTTCATATACCGACATTTTCGAAGAATGCTCAGCTGGTCGTGAATGTGAACGTTTAAATCCATTACGTTGAACACTGGACGTGTCCTAGGCCAGAGTCAGGGATTTCAGTAATTTGCACTTTTTGGACCATCGTAAACAACCGCAGCAAACGTGTTTATGAAAGTCTTTTATTATTTTCTTAGGGCAGATTCCAAGAAGTAGCAGTTCAGGATCCAAAGGTACGAATGTTTTGAAAGCTTCCCCTGTTAACGGCCTTCAGAAAGGTTGGTGGTGCTGGACCATGGAGACCTAGTTTTTCCACGTCCTCGGCAGTGGTGGGCATTACTTGGGGACCCTCTGCATCTGGGAGCTGCCTTCTCCCCCTGCAGCTTTCCTGGTGGGAAGAGAGAGCCTCGGGGCTCTCTGAGCAGAGAGGGTTTCAGGAGAAGGCGCGTTCTTTTTTCACTCCCAGATCCAGTGAGCAAGTAGTGCTGAGCAGGCCAGGGGATAGGGGCTGGATTGTAACAGGAGTCCTAGAGTCCTGAGCTGGGGGCCTGGCGGCTGGCTGGGCTTGGGTTCCAGAGCTGGGCAGCCCCAGGAGAGACTCTTAGCTGAGGGCCATCTCAGGGTGCAGAGCCGTGGACCTTTGGTCAGAATGGAGCTGGGGATCCGCGCTCACGAAGTGGTCTAGCATAGCATTCAGGACAGCAGACCGTGACTGCCTGGATACAAGGGTGACTTTGGGCCTATCACACTGCAGACCTGTCTCCCCATCTGTAAAATGGGCAGGAACAGCAGCACCCAGCTCCGCTGTCACGGCATGTGGTGCGTGCTTGGGGCTCAGGGGTGGTGGCCCAACAGCCCCGCCCCAGGTGGCCTGGACCCTTGAGAAACAGCGTGTTAAGGGACCCAGTCTTTTCTGAGTACTCAGTCCCCTGTCAGGTGTTCAGGGGTCTGAAGGCTCCTCACCTGTCCCTGTGCAGTCAGCAAGCCCAGAGGTGTGGGATTGGAGAGAGCCCGTGTTCTGACAGTGTTGGCGGCTGGCAGCCACAACCCACTTGGGGCCTGCCATCCAGGGTCCTGGGAGTCTTGGGCCCTGCATCAGGGCAGGCTTGGGAGGAATCTGCCCAGAGAACCTTTGTTTTCAGGCGAGGAGGCCATGCCTGAATTAGCTCTGACAGTCTTTCTTCAAGCTCACCTTGCCAGGCGTCCTTTGGGGACACCAGGGAAACACCGCAAGGCAGAAGTGGCCTCTGGGGACTGTCTTGTTAGCTGCTGGCAAGTGGCTGAAGAAATGGAAATTGGAAGGACTGGTCCCCTCCTCTGTGTCCCCACTCTCCCCCGTGGCTCCCCTTCTTTCAAGAAGCATCTGCGCTCCCTGTTTGTCCATTCCCCTCTTGCTTGTCATTGGGAGCCTGGCGGGGAGAGGGAGGGGGCTGCAGCCGTGAGGCTTCCCATCCTGGGACCTGGATCTATTCCTCCAGTCACTGTGGAGATCACCTGCAGGCATCCCAGGGGCCTGAGAGGGAGAGAAGAGGGGTCCTAACTACACTATTAATTCCTACCCCCAGCAGAAGTGGCGTGCTAGAAAACAAGGTGTTGAGAGAGCCCCCCCATAGTTTCAGGTCCCCTCAGACTGGGCTCCCTCAGGTTCACTGTGCCGGGTCCCGGGTCTGGCTGCCCTCCTGTGGCATTGAGCTGAGGCTGATGCTGGGGGGCTTGCAGCAAAGAGGGAGGAGCCCCCTCCCCTCGTTCTGTTCACACCCCTCTTCTGTCCGGAAGCCTTGGCTGGCCCCTCCCTTCGGGACTCAGCCCTTACTCCTCCCTTGGGGTGAAGGGTGGTTGTGGCCTTCTGGGGCCTCCAGACTTCCTGCTACCTGCTAGGCCCCACACTCCAGCGGCAGGTCTGGGAGGTCCCCCATCCCACACATCTTTCTGCCAGGATGCCCTGCCTCCCCCCGTCTCCACCTGGGAAGCTGTTCCTGGCCTTCATCCTTCCGAATCCTTGAGACCTGGGACCCCCCAACAACTGGACCCAAGCGCTGGCGGACTCCTCCTCTTGACCTTAACTGCAGGAGGTCGGGCCTCGTCCCTGTTCTGGCACTTGTCTTCTCTCTTCCTCTGCTGGTCCTCCTGCTCTTATCTTTCTGTTTTATTACTAGAGTGTAATTAACAGGCTCTGCCGTATTACTCTCTGGTGTGCAGGTTTCCCAGCATGCATCACAAGAAGCGTCTCTTCTTCCCCTCCACCTGTGGGCCCCTCTCCCTGCTCCGGAAACCACCCTGTGGGTCTCTGTTTAGGGACCTGTTTCTTTGTGTGCTGCGTGGTTTTGTTTCTTGAATTCTGCCTGTGAGTGACGTCATCTGGTATTTCTCTTTCGACTCCTGCTCTGCTCTGTCTGCCCTGCATCAGGGGAGCTGGTTCATTTTTTTTTTTTTTTTAAGATTTTATTTATTTGAGAGAGAAGGAGAGAGGAAACATGAGTGGGGGGAAGGATAGAAGGAGACAGAGCAGCACACTCTGTGCCAAGCAAGGAGCCTGATGTGGGGCTCGATCCCAGGACCCCGGGATCATGACCCAAGCCAAAGGCAGATGCTTAACCAACTTGAGCCCCCCTCCCGGAGCTGCTTCATTTTGAGGCCCCTGTGAGACTGACCGGGAGCCTTTTGTCAAAGGTCCTAATCCGTGAGGTAAGCAGATGCAGGCTCTGCCTTTGGCCTGCAGTTGGGGGGGGTGGGGGTGAGGGAGGTCCACTCAGGAGTAACCCTGGCCACAGCCTGGGCTGCAGGCCCTGTCAGGGTGAGCAGAGCTAGCTGGCGAGAGAAGGAACCTGCCTGCTTCCCTTGGAAGTCACACGCTCCGGCGGGAGCTGACGTGGGAGCAGGCATTCAGCAGACGCCAAGCCTGGTCCTCTCTCCCCAGTGCCCCGTAGCTCAGCCCCGAGGGCCTCTGGGAGGCATTGGGGGGAGAGTAGGCCTGCCCGGGAAGCTGGCAGGGACAGTGAGGTCCGCCAGGCGTTGTCAGAAGCTCTTCCAGGCCCTTCTGCTGCCCTAGCTTCCTTGAGCTGCTGCTGGAAGGACACTGCGCTTGGGTCAGCACCGTGGAGCTGGGGGCGAGCCTCCCTGCGGTTCAGACCCTTCAGCCTGGCCTTCCCGGTGGGTCCCGCAGCTGTACTTTCCTACTAGACACACACAGACCCCACCTCTCCTGGTCTCGCTGCTCCCCTGCACCCCAGACTCCTTGACCCTTTTTAACCCATCTCACCCCTTCTCACTCAGCAAGTTCTTGGAGCAGACTCTGTCTTTCCCCTGAGATGCTTGTCCCCTGCCCACGGCTTTGTGCCTGGCTGTCGTCCTGGATTCTGACCTGTTTCACCCCCACATCCAGAGTGGATGGGTGTCCTCCCAATGCCTCCCTCACTGGCGTCCAGCCTGTTGCCCCCGAGGCAGAGCCTGTCCCCCTCCCACGGTTGTCTTCAGGAACAAGAAGCTCCCTTTCTGTCTCCAGGGTTGCCGAATATCCTAACACAGTTCGGGAGGCCCTCCCATCGCCACAGCCCCCCGCCCGCCCCAATAGCACCAGGCCCCACCTGGAGTGTCTGTTCTTCATGCCCTCTGCCCTTTCCTCCCACCTGGAAAATTCTGTCTCTGTCAGGGGTGGTATCTTCTCTAGAAAACATTCTTGATCTCAGAGAGTGACCCCCCGTCGTGTTTCTGTACCTCTTGGTGAACACTTAGATTGCATAATTGGTCACATGGGATGGTTGCTGGTCTGTTGTTTTTTTTTATTTATTTTTTATTTTTTTGGAAGATTTTATTTATTTATTTGTGAGAAAGAATGAGTGAGCGTGAGCAGGGGGGAGAGGGAGAAGCAGGCTCTGCACTGAGCAGGGAGGCCAACTCGATCCCAGGACCCTGGGATCATGACCTGAGCATTAGGCAGACAGACATTTCACCGACTGAGCCACCCAGAGGTGTGTCTCTCGCTCTTTCTCTCTATCTCTCTCTTTCTTTCTTTCTTTCTTTCTTTTTTTTTTAAGGACAAATGTATTTCTTGCTCATCTTCCTATCCCCAGAGCCCAGTGTGGTCGTTGTCCCACCACAGGCACGCGACAGATGTTTGTTGATTGAATGAATGACCGCGCTGACCGTTGGGAGTAGCCACGACTTTTCTAGTCGGGCCTCTCTCCGGTGGCCTGGGTCTCCTCGGCCGTTCCTTCTGGTGGCTGCTGTAGAGGCAACTCCTCTTGTTTTCCAGCAGCCACTCGACCCAAGCATCCTGGGTGGTTGTCAGGCAAGACCTGTGGCCGGGTCTTCAGGCCGCCTCTGTCCACCACCTCAGTCCTCTGCTGCCTTTGCCTTGCAGGAAGATGGACAGAGGTACCCTGTGCTCCTTTCTCTAGGCGCTTCCCGAGGCAGGGCCATGCTCACGTTCATGGCCTCTGACAGTGAGGAGGAAGTGTGTGACGAGAGGACATCCCTGATGTCGGCGGAGAGCCCCCCGCCGCGCTGCTGCGAGGAGGCCCGGCAGGGCCTGGAGGACAGAGAGAGCGCTGCCCAGTGGGTAGGTTCCTGCCGGCGGTCAGAGGCACCAGGCTCCTGGCCCTCATGGATGGAACCCAGGCACGCCCTGATGTGGGAGGGAGGGGAAAGTAGAGGTGAGAATCGGACCCCCAGGGTAGGTCCCCCAGGGTGGGCAGCGGGTCCCGGTCAGTGAGGGCTCTGGATTGGACAGCATGTCTGCAGTCTGCTGCGGACGAAACAGTTCTGTCCCCAGCCCCCGCGGGCTCGCCTTTCTGGCACAAGTGCCATGCAGCGGGATGCTGGGAGGGGAGCCCAGGCCTGGGGTGGCAGGGCAAGCACCATGGAGGGTTGGCGGCCAGACCCAGGAGCCATGGGATGAGCATCTACCTCAGTCATATGTGACGGTTGGGTTGGCTGCACTTAGAGACAATGGAAGTCTCCCTCTCACTGTTCTGGAGGCTGGGAAGTGCGAGCTCAAGGGGCCGACAGATCCAGCCCTTTCTGGGTCTTCTGTCCGGGTTCTTCTGGGTCTTCTTCTGGGTCTTCTGTCCGGGTCCTCATGTGATGGGCCAGCCAGGGAGCTCTCTGGGGCCCATTAATTTTATTTTATTTCTTTAGTTTCAGAGGTAGAGGTCAATGACTCATCTGTCTTATAAAACACCCAGTGCGCATTATGTCACGTGACCTCCTTAATGCCCGTCCCCCAGCCGCCCCATCCCTCCATGCCCTCGCCTCCAGCAACCCCGAGTTTCTTTTCCTATGATTAAGAAGATTCTCCTGTGGTTTGCTTCCCTCTCTGATTTTGTCTTGTTTTATTTTCCCTCCTTCCCCTATCTTCCTCTGTTTTGTTTCTTAAATTCCACATATGAGAGAGATCATATGATAGTTGTCCTTCTCTGATTGACTTATTTCGCTTAGCATCCTATCCTCTAGTTCCATCCGTGTTATTGTAAAGGGCAAGATTTCGTTCTTTTTGATGGCTGAGTAATATTCCATTGTAGATTTATACCACCTCTTCTTTATCCATCCGTCGGTGGGCATCTGGGCTCTTTCCGTAGTTTGGCTGTTGTGGACATTGCTGCTATAAACATCGGGGTACAGGTGTCTGGGGCCCATTTGTAAGGGCACTCATCCCATCAGGAGGGCTCCACCCTCACGACTCAGTCCCCTCGCAAAGACCCCCCCCACCTTCACATTCCATCACATTGGGGGTTAGGGTCCAATGTGTGAATTTGGGGGGCACGCAGACATTCCGATCTTATCTCTGCAGGACATGAGGTTAAAACATCATAAGTCGGGGTGCCCTGGGCGGAGAGTCACCTAGCCTTACTACCTCCCACCCCGGCAAGGCAAAATAGCATCTGGTGTTGCCCGAAACCCCAGCTCCATTTTGCCCGTTAGAGTATTTAAAACCTTTCATGGGGAATTTTTCCTGCCAGCCAGCCTTAGTCCCCGTTGCTGAAATTAGAGCTCGTTTCTCCCGTCCTCTGAATTCCCAGTGAGCTGGTCTCTTGTTTCTTCAGCTTAACGCCACCATCAGCCACTCCTAACACCTCCCTTGCACTTTTCTTTTTCTTAGCTGAGAATCTCGCTTGGAATTCTCTCTGCAAAGAACCAGTATTGAAGCAACGGTCCTTTTGAATGTGTGTTTTGCTTGGCTATGGTTCTGGAGGTTCATGTAATTAACGAGGCAGCGAGTGACCCTAAATTGGCGCGATTCCCAAACAGAAATTCTTGCAGATGGGTTTGGGGCAGCAGGTGCTGGGGTCCTGCCCTCCCACCCTCCCAGAACACGGACCCACCCCACCAGGAGTTTGGTGCCAGTTAGCCCATCAGAATCTGGTTCGTGGCTTCCAGTTCTCCATGCCAGTTTTGCACATGTCAGGGGAGTTCCAAGCAATTTGTTCCTCTGCAAACCCCCAGTGTCTTACAGTCAGAGGGTCCTCATGGGTGCTGAGTCTTCTAGTGAGTGTAATCTGTCTTCCTCTTCTGTCACCTGGCCAGTCTCCTCCCAAATCCATGTGGCTCCTTGAACAGAACTGAGTGGCATCTGAATCCCTGAATGGAGGGAGGGGGAGATCCCTAGATGCGCTCCAGGCTCCTGAGCCACACGTCCCGGGCCTGCAAGCTGCCCTCTCCTGTGGCTGCTGTGGCCCCTTCCCGCATTTGCGGTGGCGTGTGCCAGCTCTGAAGCGTCTCCGGCCGATCTCGTAAATGTTTCCAGTGCCCTGCCATCCCAGCCCTGCAGCATCTAGACCGCAGCCCCCTAGGCTGGTTCTTCCGTCTGGAAAGCAACACTCAAACTGCACTCTTCCAGTTCCAAAATACCTGTGCCCGGCACCGCAGAGCCCACCACGGGGGCGTGCCATGGCCCTCACCGAGCGGTTTTCCGCAGAGAAGCCAGGATAGCGAGGAGGACCTCGACGAGGATGCAGACCGCTACATGTGCAGTGGGGTCCCCGGGCAGCCATCGGGCCTGGAGGAGGAGCTGACCCTCAAATATGGGGCAAAGCACGTGATCATGCTGTTTGTGCCTGTGACGCTTTGCATGGTTGTGGTGGTGGCTACCATCAAGTCCGTGCGCTTCTACACAGAGAAGAACGGCCAGCTGTAAGCTGGGGAGCAGGGCAGGGTCGGGGGGAGGGTCTTGGCACCCGCAGCTCCACGCCAGGGGCCTGTGCAGAGCTGGGCTGAGAGCTGCCTGACTCCATGCTCTGCTCCGTCCACCGCCTCCCAGCGGTGTGACCTGCGCGGGCCCTTCCCTAACTGCTCTCTGCCTCGGTTTCCTTGTTTATATAATGGGTCTGACCCCAGGAGAACAGGGCGAGTTAGAACCGTGGCTGCTGCCACGTGGCAGAGGGCAGGCTCTGGGTGTGGGGTCCCGGGCACAGGGTGCCACCCCATGTGACCGAACAGCTGGTTTCCTCTCTGGGCTGCCCTCCTGCGGCCGGAAACCCACATGGGGCCAGGAGATTTCTTAGTTGGCTTCCAGCCCAGGGAGCGAGGTTTGGATCCCTGTAGCGGAAGGCAGCAGCACGGACAAGTGGGAAGCCCCCTCTGCTCCCTGGCCCGCTGCTCTGGGGCAGTTGCCTGCCTCTGACTACCTTCTCTGAACTTGGTTTCTAGTGTCTTTAGTTAGTTTCCTTTCCCTTTGGTTTGGTTTTTCTGAAGAAAGTGGCAGGCTTGTGCTGGGCCGGGCACAGAGCCGGTGGGAGGGGGCCCAGCAGACAGTGTTCAGCGAAGGTGAGTGCTCAGCAGGCAGGAAGTTCCCGCAGTCCAGGGCAGACAGGGTGGACAGGGCAGGGTCTAGGGCGCGGCCTCTCGCCTCTCTTGGTGCAGGTGCCCCTGCTGCTGGCCTGCCCTGGGTCGGGTATGGGTGTGGGGGTGTGCTGGGCGCCCTGGTCTGGAGAGGAGGGGAGAGCAGGAGAGCACCTCAGGGAGGGGGAGGCCTGCTGGGAGTTGCGGGGGGAGAGCACCTCAGGGAGGGGGAGGCCTGGTGGGAGTGGGGGGAAAGCACCTCGGGGAGAGGGAGGCCTTGGGGGGGTGTTTGGGGGAGGGGGAGGTGCGGGAGGGAGGCCTCAGGGAGGGCAGGCGAGCACCTTGGGGAGGGGGTGGCCTGGGGGGGCCCCTTCCTTTTCTGCTCAGAGCTCAGGCATCAGGCTAAGGCTGGGTGGCTCACGGGCAGGCCCTATGGAGCAGGCAGGGAGCAGAGTCTGCAGCCCGCCATCTCCCTCAGCATCTACACACCATTCACCGAGGACACGCCCTCTGTGGGCCAGCGCCTGCTCAACTCTGTCCTCAACACCCTCATCATGATCAGTGTCATCGTGGCCATGACCATCTTCCTGGTCGTGCTCTACAAGTACCGCTGCTACAAGGTAAGGGCCAGCCCTGCCCACTGTCCTGTCCTATCCGCCCTGCCCACTGCCCCGTCCTATCCGCCCTGCCCACTGTCCCATCTTGTCCATCCTGCCTGTTGCCCCGTCCTGTCTGCCCTGCCTGCTCCCCGCTGCCCTGTCCTGTCTGCTGCCCACTGTCCCATCCTGTCCATCCTGTCTGCTGCCCACTGTCCCATCCTGTCCATCCTGTCTGCTGCCCACTGCCCTGTTCTGTCTGCCCTGCCCGCTGCCCCGTCCCGTCCTCCCGGCCCCCTGCTGCTGCATACTTGCCAAGGCTCTTGCCCGAGAGGGAGCTGACACTGCTGTTAGACGTGCCCCCCCGGCCCCTACCCCCGTGGGGGTTCCCCGCTGCCCCTTCCTTGGAGCTTGTGCGGAACCCCGCCTGCCCCCGTCCCTCACTGTAGCATTCGCCACGCCCCTTCTCACGTTCGGGAGTTAATTTTATTTAGCTGCTGCTTCAGAAGAAACGAGATGTTCTGATTTAGGGTCCCTGTGCCCCACACTTCCCTGCAGGTTTACTTGACCTCCTTGTTTCCCTCTCAGCTGGCTATGCAGGTGCTGTGCTGAGGTCTCCGAGGCCTGGGGGACTGGCGGACCCTTAGCTGTGGCGAGGACCCTGGGAGCCCCGGGGGACCCCCTCCCTCGGCCCAAGCAGGGGCGTTGTCCCTCCCCAGGCAGGCCATGAGCTTTTGGATGTAGGTTTTAGGGTCTGAACCCGTGAGGCCTGAAAGAATGACACGCTGGGGGTGGCTGGTTGGAAGTGGTCCTCACACTGGCTGCCACCCTCTGGGTACAGGTGGGGAGCACAGACAAGGCTCAGCCCAAGGGCAGAAACCTGTCCCAGCCGGGATGACAGCAGGGGTGGACAACAGGAGGGCTGCTGCAAGTGCGGGGATGCCAAGGCTGACCGGTGAATGATGACTTATGGAAATAAGGCAGTTTTAAGTGGGGCTGGGAAGCATCATGGGGTTGTGTGGTCGGAGCAGAGGCCATGGGGCCTGTGAAAATAAGCCAGTCAGGGGCTACAGAAGGACAGCACTGCTGTGGTCAGCGGCTGTCAGGAGACTCGTCCCGGGACTGGCGGGAGGCAGATTGGCAAGGTGTCCTTACGGATTCTGTGACACTCAGGAGAGCAGTGGTGGTGGTCCTGGGGGGTGGAAGCGGCTGGAGCGAGGAGAGTCAGCCCATCCCAGAGGCAGCCAGGCCACCGCCTGCCTTCCAGGTAGACCAGGTTCCCACTGAGGTCCCCAATGGCTCAAGCAGGTGACTAATGAGGGGAGGCTGGTGGCAGTGACTCCACCGTGCCCCCGACAGCTGGCTAGGGGACTGGCTTAGGACCAGCCTGCAGTCATCTTTGATCTGCTTCTTTGGCCAGGACAGCAGGCACGTGTCTCTCTAAGGACCTGTGAGTAGACCCTCCGGTGGCAGGGCTGTTCCTGGGGTGACCAGAGAAAGCTCACTCAAAGACAGCCGTGACCACTTTAAGATAGCACCCCAGCGAGTCTCCCGTCACTTTGCCCTGACGTTCCCTTTCTCATACCTGTGACTACCTGACTACATGTATATACATTTACGAGGTGTGACCCTCACTTGGCGGGGGGGGTGGAGGGGGTCTCCAGTGCACCCACCCTCAGTGAGGGAACAGGGCTCTGATTGCTCCCACCTGATGGGTCCTGCTCCACGCCCTTGCCAGCGGACCCGGGGAAGACTCTGGATTTCTCTGCCCTCTTTATCAGTCACATGGCCACTCCGTACCTTCCAGCATGGTCATGGAGGAGCCCAACGGAGATTCTTGAAGCTTGGGCACCAGTCCCGGGAAGCTGGGGCCTGTGTCCATCCTGCCCATTTCTGTTGTCTAGTTCATCCATGGCTGGTTGATCATGTCCTCCCTGATGCTGCTGTTTCTCTTCACCTACATCTACCTCGGGTAAGTCACCCTCCCACCAGGCTCCAGACTCTGCCCTTGTCACTGCTCTGACCCGGTCCTTCCTCCCCTGGGCCCCGTGGCAGGCCACGCCTCCCTTTCTTGTTCCTGATTTAAAGGATCACAGTCCACATGGAGGGCAATATCTGTGAACCCAAGAGGGGTATAGACCCCTTAAGATTCACATTCTCATCTTTGGGCCGGGCTTAGGTGCTTGCTCGTCTGTGGGAAAAGTGATCTGCTCTGTTGCCTTTGATCTCGAATGGTGGCCTGACCCAGGAGAGACTGGAGAGACAGGAGGACCTTTCTCTTGGGCAGAGGGTCTTCTAGGTTGTGCCAGTGCAGGTTGACATGAACCAACCCAAGGATGAGACATTGGCACAGTCACCAGTTTGTTCCAGAAAATACTTGACATGGTTCATTGTAGGACCCACAGAACCGGGAAAAGGGGTGTTAGTGATGAAGCCAGAGGTCGGAAGGACCCAGCTGGGAGTTTAGTGGTTGAGGAGCAGGGAATGTTGAACTGTGTCTAGCTGGGGGGGTCTCACCTCTCCACTGACTTTCCCGCCCATGCTTGACTCTGGTCACACAGGGAAGTGCTCAAGACCTATAACGTGGCCATGGACTACCCCACCCTGTTCCTAACTGTCTGGAACTTTGGGGCGGTGGGCATGGTATGCATCCACTGGAAAGGCCCCCTCGTGCTGCAGCAGGCCTACCTCATCATGATCAGTGCGCTCATGGCCTTGGTGTTCATCAAGTACCTCCCAGAATGGTCTGCCTGGGTCATTCTGGGCGCCATCTCTGTGTACGGTAGGCAGACGCAGATGGGCTTTGAGCCTGGTGGTGGGCGGCGGGGGCCGTGTCCAGGGGTCGAGTCCTCTTCACTGGCGCCCACAGGTGGCAGGGGCTGAAAGGGGCCTCCCTCCCCGATGAATGCTGGACGGTCTCCCCTCTGAGAGGCTCACCTTTGTGAGACATGGGGGCTGTGGGGCCTGGGGCCGTGGGCGCACTCACTATTGTTTGCACGTCTGTGGAGTGCTCACACTGGTGAGTGCTGGACACACTAGGAGATCTGTTCAGAGCAGCCGTAGAGTCAGGCGCGGGGCCGTGAATCACGAACGCCCAGAACTGCTCATTAGCGGCTCAGTGACTAGGGTTCGTGTGATTCTCTTTCCCCATCACTTCCATTTTGAGGGTAGGGGATGGGAGGATCCAGACGACAAGCCCACCACTAGGGCCCTGAGCCACACGGCAGTTCCTTGTTTCCGGTCCGCCTGTTTAGACTCCGTTCTGGGCTTCAGCCGGTGTGGGTTCCCCAGGTCAGGGCTGGAAGCCGGCGGGTTGGGGCCAGGCACGCAGGACACACTTGGAGCCTCGCTCTGGGGCTCTGGGCTGCATTTGCCCCAGTGTTCGCGGGCCAGCTTCCCTCTCTGGGGGCTGCTTGGGAACACATGTCACGGGCCACATACCCTGATATCTTTGCTCTCCCAGATCTCGTGGCTGTGCTGTGCCCCAAAGGACCGCTGAGGATGCTGGTGGAGACCGCCCAGGAGAGGAACGAGCCCATATTTCCTGCCCTGATATACTCCTGTGAGTGACCCCTACATCTCCTCCCGAGGTCGAAACTGGGGGCTGCTTCCTGGCCACGGCTTTCAGAGTTCACTGGTCTAAGAGGAGGGGGTGGCCTTGGTGATCCCGGGGTGGCCTGCCTGCCAGGGACAAAGACTGGCTGGATCTTGGTTTCACACAGAAGATGCTGAGAGAGTTAGGGCTGCCCGGGGCTGCAGGGGACATGGTCCGCCCCCCACCTGTGGCCCGTCCAGCATCCGGTGGCGCGTGGTGGGCACTGCCCACGGCCGCCCGCTCGGCCCTCCACCCTCCTGAGAGGGTGCTTCGGAGAGGGGCTCTCGAGGGCGGGGGTCTGGGGGCGCAGGTGTACCTGCTCTTTGTTGGGCTTCCTCCACGGCTCCATGGCTGGTGGAAGTCTCTGAAGGGAAGGCACCCAGCGCTGCTGCTGGCTGCGGGGGCCGGACTGTAGGGAGTGCGTTTGACAGACGAGCATCAGACCCATACTCTGCAGCAAGCGCCGTGCTGGGCTTCCGAGGTGCTGCAGGAGAGAAGACCCACGTGGCCCCAGGCATGACGGGGCTCACAGCCCTGTGGTCCCGTTGCCCTCCCATCTGTTGGTGGGCGTGGCTGAGGAGTGAGCCCGAATGCCCGGGGCTCACCGTCTGCAGGTTCAGACCCGCCTCTGAGTGCTGGAGATCGTCTGCAGAGGCAGGAAGGAGCTTGGAGGGGGAGCCGTTGGCGGGGGGCCCACAGCCTAAAAGCAGGTTCGAGGCCACTTTGAGGAAGAGCAGAGACCACGTGTGGTGGGCTGAGATGGGGCTCTTACCTGTGTTCACCATCTCTGTGCTGTGGGGGAGCACACGTTCTTGGAGGGGAGACATGCTTGGTCAACAGATGAAGTGGCAGGGAGGCCGAGGACTTTGTTGGGGGGAGGGGTGCTGTTTTGTGTTTGGTGGTTGAGGACACCTCTGTCATAAGGTGACATTTGACCCGAGACTTGTGTTAGGAAGCCCAGGGCGCAGAGTTCCAGCAGAAGGCCCTGAGGTGGATACAGCCCAGTACTTGGGGAGCTGAAGCCATGGGGGGCAGAAGGGAGGAGGGGGCCCGTCCAGGGGCACTGGGGAGCCACTGGAGGGCAGAAGTGGGGAGGGAACAGGTGAGGGGGTGCAGGTCCAGGGACGGTGGGGAGCTGAGGCCAGTTGGGTGGAAGAGAAGGAGGAGGGGCAGGTCTGGAGGTACAGGTCTAGGTGCGCTGGGAGCCGAAGCTGGCAGGGGGCAGAAAGGAGGGGCAGGTCTGGGAGCACTGGGGAGCTAAAGCCAGTGGGGGGCAGAAGGGAGGAGAGGCAGGTGAGGGGGCACTGGGCCCTGCAGGCCATGGTGAGGACTCGGCTTTCACTCCTGAGTGTGCTTCATGCCCTGGAAGGCTTTGGATCAAGCTGACATGAATATTTTAGCAGGATCACTCAAGTTGCTGAGGGGAGAGGAAACAGCATGGTGGCAAGAGTGGGAGAGAAGCCAGTTTGGGGGTGACTAGCAGCCCAGGAGTGGGGGTGTACGGCTGTGGCCCCGGGAAGGACCACAAGGGTTCTGAAGATACTTTGGAGGCCAAATTGGCAGGATTTGCGATGTTGGGGTACAGACCAGGAGAAAGAGTCAAGAGCGTCCGTGTGTCTTGGGGTCTGAGCAACATCAGGGTTGGAGATGCCACACAGTGAGAGGGACAGGGTGGGGCCACCATGGCTGCCATGGCCATGTGGGGAATGTTCTAGACGAGGCACGCTCATGGGGCCGCCAGATGGAGACGTGGGGACACGTGTGCGATGGGAGGTGAGGCGAGAGTTTCCGGGCCAGAGAGAGACCAGTCAGTGCTCCCGTCCCGGCGATCCCACCCTGGACGGAAGCCAGGGGAACCGGACACGGGGTCTCCACACAGCTGTCCACACACCCGTGCCCGTAGCCGCATCGCACGTGGTCGCTGAGGGCTGCGGTCACGCCATGTCTGTCGACCGCCGGGCGGGTGAAGGACACTCGGCGAACGCACCGTGGAGCGTCGTTCAGTCCTGAGAAGGGACGTGTCCGGCCACGGGCCGCGTGGATGAGCCTGGAGGCCACCGCGCTGAGTGAGCGAAGCGTCATGGAGGGTCGGCACTGCCCCCCGTATGGGGCCTCGAGAGGACTCGGGAGCTAGAATGGGGGAGCGGTGGCGGGGGAGGGTAGTTTCAGGGCCGGAAGACAAGCGGTTCTGGAGCCTGTCTCCCAGCAACGTGGGTATAAAAAAAGCCCAGGAAGGGCACTGTATGCCCATATCTGTTGAGTCCGGGCCCCTCCCCCAGGGGCCCCCAAACAAGGGGTGTAGATGCATCCCCACTGGAGGTGACAGTCCTGTGCGGGCTTTTTGGGGATGCTGCCTTCCAGGCCCTGGGGGCAGCCTCACTCAGCAGCGCCTGACGCGCAACCTTTCTCCTTCTGTAGCCGCCATGGTGTGGACGGTGGGCATGGCCAAGCTGGACCCCTCCTCCCAGGGAGCCCTTCAGCTGCCCTACGACCCTGAGATGGGTGAGTGTCGGGGGCTGCCCTCTCTGGGGGGTGCAGAGCCGGGTGGGGCGGAAGGGAAAGCAACTCCTCCTGGACGGGCGCGTGCCGGGGACTGAGCGAGGTGGGGACATCCAGCTCCGCCCCCTTTCCTTGTGACACATAGCAGAGAGCTTTTCTGTGTGTCTCGGGGGGCGCTGACTGGTGGGTGAGGACTGGGGGAGCCCTGAGCTCAGAGAGCCCTCTGACTAGAGTTTTGTCTCTCTCCCTCGCCCCTGCCCCCACCTCACACCGTGACTGTTCTCGGTTCTCTTCGCGGACACCCAGAAGAGGACTCCTATGACAGTTTTGGGGAGCCCTCGTACCCGGAAGTCTTTGAGCCCCCCCTGCCTGGTTACCCAGGGGACGAGCTGGAGGAAGAGGAGGAAAGTAAGGTGCCCAGGCCCAGAGGGTCTGCGTGGGCCCAGGGGTGGGGGCAGGGGTGGAGCTGGGGCTCCCTGAAGTCAGGGAAGAGTGTGGGAGAGAAGCACCCCCCTCACGTCAGAGGTGGGCACAGAAGTTCCAGGACCAGCCTGCCAGAGGTGGTGTCTTGTTGGCTACGCCGGGCTGCGATGGGCGCTCTTCCCGCTTATCACACGGGAGCAGGCGTGGGTGGTGTCTGTACCGCGCTGGGTGCGAGCAGTAATCCAGGCCTGGCTCGGGTGTACCTGCCGTGGGCTCTGATCGCCCCCACTGGGCCCAGGAGGACCATGCGGGAGAACAAGGGGGCCAGAGCACAGTGACCCAGCTCCTTGACCTGGTCTCAGGCCCTGGGGAAGTTACCTGAGGGGCTTACTTCTGAGCTGAGCTCTAGGGGTTGAGCTCTGGGAGCAGGGGATGCAGGGGTGGGAGTTGGGGTACAGAGGCCAGGGGCCCACAGTCCAGGGTGAGTTAGAGGAAGGCCAGGAAGGAACCCTAGAACAGAGGTGCAGACATGGGACTGGGAGGCTCTTGGGCACTCAGAGGGCCTTCCAGATCGAAGTGGGGGGTTCCGGCCTGTGCACCATCCCCAGGGTGGGGGACCCCGGGGGGTTTTGAGTTTTGTGGGAGGAAGGACATGACCCAGTGGGGGCAGGGTTGTAGGTTGTGGAGAATTTATCCTAGTATGCACTTGTATGGCCTGTAGGAGGGCCCAGTGTATCTATGGGAGCACAGGGTATGGGTTCGGGGCTCAGGCAGGCTGGGCAGAACAGCCACTAACAGCGCTGCCCCACACTCAGGCCACCATGGGCTGTGGAACACAGGGTCCCATGTGCCACTCAGCACAAAGCAGGTGGGCTGCGTCTGTGTCCTGGTGGAAAGACTGTTTGCATCCCCCTTGGCCATGTGCTCTTGGACCTGTCGTCAAGGCCGTCTTCCACACAGGCCCTTCCCTGTCTCTCCCTGGGAGTCACTACCCAGTTCTGCCCCACTACCCCTCCAGTTGCAGTAGTCCCCTAGGATGACTCCGGGGGCCAGGAAAGTCCTGTACTTACAGTTTTATTGTAAGGGAGATAACTAAGGACCAGCCTTGCGAAGGGATGTGGAGGGCAGATGTGGGAGCTGTGGAGAGCTCTCTTCGGGAGGCATGAGGGCGGGTTACACACACACGCACACGCACACACACGCACACACACGCTGCCGCCGCCGCCGCCGCCACCACCACCACCCACCCCCCAGCACGTGGATACGTTCATCAGGCTTCAGGGATCAGAGTCTTACTGGGTTGCATTACATAGATGTGACTGAGTCCTCGCTCAGGGCCTGTTCTGTCCCCCCAGAGGCCAGCTGGGCCTAGTCCTGGCCCCCTTCTCACAAGGTCGGTCTTTCTGGTGGAGCAGCCCCTCCAGGTCCTGTCACTCAAGGGTTTAGGATTCTGGGTCTCCTGAGTAACAGATGCTCCCGTTACTTGGGAAATTCCGGGATGTAGCCTCCCTCCCAGGGACCAGGGACAAAGGCCAGAAAATTCTTCATGTCCCAGCAGCACTGGCCGGCTTGAGGAAGGAGGAGGGAGCCTCGGGGAGTGCCGGGAGCAGCTGTGGAGGGCCAGCCCTTGGGGGTTATGCCACACTCGTACTCGGGGTGCAGCTGAGACTCTGCCCTGGAGGCAGTGGGGAGCCCTTAGTGGCTTCTGGGCCTCGCATAGGCACAGGATGGGAGCATGGAGCTCATCTGAGATGTGACTGAGAGGGAAGGGCAGAGCCTCACAGTGGGGGTGGAAAAGCAGGGGGTGGGTATGAGCGAGAGGGACACTGACAGACCCCCGTAAGGGGCGTGGTGGAGACGGACAGACAGCAGAGGAAGGAAGGAAAGCAGGCTGCGAGAGGTGGTGAGCCGGAGGCCTGCTTCCTCTCTGGGGGCTGGAGCCAGCCTGCGGGGTTCTGGCCTGACCAGGGAGCCCCTGTGAGCCGTGGGAGGCAGCAGAGGGGCGGACAGGCAGCAGGCCTGTGTGGGCAGCCTCGTTAGGTAAACGTCTGCCGAGAGCCTTGGCCTCTAAAGGAGGACTCCGTGGGGCAGGCCCGCCTGAAGGAGACAAAGTCTTCTGTGCACTGTCAGTTCTCAGCTGATAACCGGAGATAAGCTAATTACCAAATAACGCTTATCTCTTGTCACCAGGAAGGGTCGCCCAAGGCACTCACCGCAGTGTTTGTGCTCTGGAGAGGAGTGAAATTAACCTCCCTAAAAAATATTTCTAAGTTAGCCCTAAATTTTACAGCCTCCCACCAACCCCTGCAAGTACGTTTTATTTGCTCTTTTAACTAAGTGTCAAGCACCAGTTTTACCCCAATTGTCAGAAATGCTAGCTTTTCACAGCCCGGCTGGCAGGTGGCCCCGCCCAGCGGCCCCTTTTTCCCCCTGGCCGCTGGTTTTCCACTGCAGCCAGTCCCTGCCCCAGAGGCCAGGTGAGGTGGGCTGGCAGCGACCCTGCCCTGGGTCTCAGACTCAGGACTCTGGTCCCAGGTCCCCTGGATCCCTTGGAGTAGGCAGAGCAGCTAGGCTGTGGGCTGGCCTCTGCCTTCACCCCTTCCTCTTGGGGCTCCCGACGCTGATGGGCTCGCTCTGTCTTCCCCGCACAGGGGGCGTGAAGCTCGGCCTGGGGGACTTCATCTTCTACAGCGTGCTGGTGGGCAAGGCGGCGGCCACGGGCAGCGGGGACTGGAACACCACGCTGGCATGCTTCGTGGCCATCCTCATTGTGAGTGGGCTGGGTGTACCCCTGCTCTGTCTCCCCGGTTTGGGGGGGAACCTAGATCCAAGGAGAGTTTCAGAGGCTGCTGTCCCTTGGAGGGGCAAGATGGTGGGGGCTGGGCAGGGCTGTGAGGAAGCCCCTCGAGATGAGACCAGGCTTATAGGAGGGTCTGGGCCAGGCAGGTGTGGCTGAGGGACTCCGGCATCATGGACCACACGTGGCCGCGCAGAGGCTTGGCCGACATTGTGTGCGGTCTCATGATGTCTGTGAGGCAGGGAGGGGGCCCTGACACTTTGAACCCCAGTGGTGACTCAGTTTGGCCAGACACCCATGTTGCGGGAAGTGCCCCAGGAGGACTGCATCTAAGGAGAGGAAGCTCCGAGCAGCATGTGCTCCACGTTCCAGCCCCTTGAAGCCGGGTGTCCGGGGCGTGTCAGGGATCGGGTAGTGGACCCCCAGACTGACCTGAAGCCCTGCCCTCCCCAGGGACAGGGCAGCTTTTCTAGTCCCCTGTCCCCTCCCTGCACCACTGCCCCCGTTGGCCAGGACAGAACGGGCGGCCACTTCCAAGGGGATGGGTCACACGGCATCTTTGGTTTCCTTGAGGTACTAACTGCTGAGAACCTCCCCGGCCTTTCCATGGAGCTTGTGCAGTTCTTTACAAATACATGTCCCTTAAGGAGAGGCCACCGGCCACTGGTCACACATGTCACCGCTGTTGCCAGATGGGGCGGTGGTCTGGGAGTCGGGAGGCTCCCACGAGAGCATGCAGGTGTTAGACGGGGTGAGCGCTCCCCCTCTGGCGCAGCACAGAGCTTCGAGAGGCCCCGGGAATATCAGGTGTCCAGGGCTGTTGTCCGACCCGTCCCTTGCTGACACCAAAGCCCGGGGGTTGGACCTCAGCTGCTGCCCGTCATCCACACCGGCGGTCACCACCCCCCTCCCCTCCGTGTCCTGCAGGGTTTGTGTCTGACCCTCCTGCTGCTTGCTGTGTTCAAGAAGGCACTGCCCGCCCTCCCCATCTCCATCACGTTTGGGCTCATCTTCTACTTCTCCACCGACAACCTGGTGCGTCCGTTCATGGACACCTTGGCTTCTCATCAGCTCTACATCTGACGGGGCCGGCAGCCATGGGAAGCTGTCGTGGGGGCCCTCACGTAGTTCTACACTCTAGTGCCATATATTTTTAAGACTTTTCTTTCCTTAAAAAAAAGAAAAAGAAAAGAAAAAAGTGTCGTGTTTACTTGGCGAAGAGGAAGAACCAACTTTCTGGTGCTAGTGGTTTTGTCACCTGACCATGGCTCACTGGCTGGAAGCACCGGGAGTTGGTTGGGGCGTGCCCTGGACCGCTGGGCCATGTGGGGAGGGTGTGGCGAGGTCGCCCACCCCATGCCACAGCCCAGGATGCTTCAAGAGCCAAGGCAAAGGAAGGGACCAGGAGCTCGTGCTCGGGATGGCACCTAGCACCTGCCCGCTCTGGCAGGAGAAGAAAGCCAGTTTGCCCTGAGTGTAATGTCCCCAACGCTTTGTCTGTGATGTCATCGTTATTTTACTACCTTTAGAAACCAAGTCCTGTTCTTGTTACAGCAGTTACTGCTGGGAAGTGGCTTAATATCAATAAATAGGTGAATCTTCCTGGAATGCTGGACTTGGGCATGTGTGTGAGTGTGGACCCTGCTCGCTGGATCTCGTGACCTCGCCTGGGAGGATGTGTGGGAGAGGATGGGGGAAGATTCACCCCACTGCAAAGGAGAGCGGTTCATACTCATGTCTGTCTGTAGTCTTTTCTCCAAGTCCAAGGCTTCCTGAGCGGGGCTGTGCAGAGCCAAGACAAGCAGTATCACTCCTTGGCAAACCAGTGCACTGTGGGAGGCTGGGAAGGGGCCCATGTTTGGAACCCAGTGTCATCCCTCCCATGTCCATCTCTGGGCGCTGTGACCAGGGCGTGGACCAGTCAGCTTCTCCCTTTCCTGCCCCATCGTCCCAGGCCAGGGAGAGAATCTCAGTGATGCATCTGGCCAGGGCTCGGGTGCTCAGGGCAGCGCTGGTGGCCGCTGGTGGTGCAGGGCAGCGTGGCCAGCCACTGAGCCAATGCAGGGCCCGTGTTTGCAGTTCTGACCGGTAGCCCTTCCCCAAATGGTCCGCATTCCCCAAATGGCATGAGTGCCAAGCAGCTGGCGATTTATTGTGAGAGAAATAACTGTTTTGATGTCTGGTATAGCTTGCCGTTCCCTGGGCTGTTGGTAGAAGCGTGGAGGGAATGGGGGAGCCCGGAGGCCAGGTGCAGACGGGCGGGAGTGGTGTTTTCTGGGCTGGCGGTTGGGATCCGGGCACCAGCCGTTGCTGACTGACTCATGGTCATGGTCAGAGCCCAGGGTGATGGCATCACAGCCCGGAAAGCGGACCGTAGGTTGGGGTCTCAGAAGAAGAGGGCTGGCCCCTGGTGGTAAAGGGGAGGAAGAACTGGGATTAACTTGTTCAATTTGGCAATCAAAACAGTAGTTGGGGGGTGGGGGACCCCCAAAGATTAGCTTTGATAAGTTCTGATTTGTTAGGTGTAGCGATGTCTTTGTCAAAGGACTGGCCAGGATGCTGGGGGTGCAAGCCACATTTAGGGGCACAAGCAGAGGCTGGAGGGCCCCACGTCCCAGCAACCAACCAGAAAGCAGAGAGGAACGGTGCCCACGAGGAAGGGCCAAGACGGGAAAGCCAGTGAATGTGAGCGGCCCCAGAGTGCAAGCCCTTGCGGGGGAAACAGCTACTGAGGACACCCAGCCTGGGGAGGCCATCCCAGGGGCTGGGAGTCTGGGACCCTGACACAGAGTATGGGGTGGGGGGAGGAGGACAGAAAGGTGATTCAGATATTCTGGAAGGAATAGAGAACGGGATGCACGTGCCAAGCCCTCCCACCCCCATGTCATCAGCCAACTAGTCCTAGTGTTCTTCCGTATTTGCTCCAGATTTGTTTTTAGAAATAAAACCTTATCATCCCAAAGTCCCATTTGCAGCCCCAGGGCCATCTACCCACCTTCTGCTGTCCCGAACACAGCTCATATCCGTCCCTCCACGTTCAGCACAGCTCTGCGTGCCGGCGCGTTCTTTACGCTTGACAGAAACGACACATCCCACACCATACTCACTTGACGACTTCTGAAGTTTTCATATTTGGTTCTTGAGATGTTCATGGACGTAAATGAAGCTCTGGTTCAGTTATTTGAACTGTTTAACATTCCGTCTTGTGACCGTCCGCCATGCACCTGTTACGCTGTTGACAGATGTCGTGGGTGTGGTGGGGTTTCTGGGTTAGAATCAGACTGCGGGGAGAGCTGTTTCAGGCATCCCGGGTGAGTGCGTGTGGTCCCCTCGCTGACGGCATGTTCATGCTTGCTCCCCAAGGTCACGGGACCCTCTGTCCTCTGGCAGTGTCCCCCCCACACTCCCCAGCTGGACCAGCACTCGGCATCTTCGGATTTTTCATGTTTGTTGATCGGGAGGGTGTTCTGTCCCTGAGGTTTGAGTCTGCCCCGAGCCTGAGCCTCGTCTCATCGTATGCTCTGGCTGTGCGGAGTTCCGTATCTGTTTCTCCTTCACGCACTTTCCATTGGGACAACTTGCCTTTTCCTTATGGGTATTTATGTCTGTTAAAATATATGTTCCGGAGAGATGCTAACGTTTGGTCAGTGACAGGCATTTCGAACATGCCTCCAGGCGGTGGCTTATCTCCCTCGTGGTCTTCCCTGGCACCAAAGTTGCGTTTAAATGTTCCTATTAAAAAAATAAAATAAAATAAAATAAAATAAAATAAATGTTCCTATTATTATGCATGTCCATCCTTTACTTTTGGTGGCTTATGCTTTTTAGGCTTCTTTGAGTGATCCTTCCCTACCCTTGAGGCTTTCTAAAAGCTTAAATTTTAATTTTCAGTGCACCTGGGTGGCTCAGCTGGTTACGAATCTGACTCTCATTTTCGGCTCAGGTCATGATCTTAAGGTCCTGCGATCGAGCCCCTGCATAGGGCTCTGTGCTCAGTACTCTGTATGGAGTACTCAGTACTCTGTGCTCAGTACTCTGTGCTCAGTGGGGAGTCTGCTTGAGAGTCTCTCTTCCTCTGCCCCTCCCCCCTCTCTGAAATGAATAAATAAATCTTTTTTTTTTTTTAAGATTTTATTTATTTGTCAGAGAGAGAGGGAGAGAGAGCGAGCACAGGCAGACAGAATGGCCGGCAGAGGCAGAGGGAGAAGCAGGCTCCCCGCCGAGCAAGGAGCCCGATGTGGGACTCAATCCCAGGACGCTGGGATCACGACCTGAACCGAAGGCAGCTGCTTAACCAACTGAGCCACCCAGGTGTCCCTGAATAAATAAATCTTTACAACATTTTTAATTTTCCCATAAGGATATTTTATACATATGAAACTTATGTATATGTATTGTATTTGGTGAGGAACTGAGTTTTATTTGTCTGTATCTGTAGCCCTCTTTATCGAACAGCCTCTCCTTTCTGTGCCATCTTGTAGAACTGTCCAGACATTGCCAGGTTTCCCTGGGCCGGGGGAGCGGCCCACAGGTAGGTATGTCCTGTCCCACAGGTATGTGAGCTTTCCCAGGCCGACACCTCGCGAAGTGGGTGGAACAGAGAAGTTCCTGGGGAAAAGAGAGGTTGGGGATCCTCCTGAGCATGGCCATTCCCGGGGTCCTGGAGGTGGGAATGGGCTCTGGGTGGTAACCAGGGGGACCAAGGTAGATGGTCATCTTGGAAGTAAAGCGAGGTGGGAGCGAGAGAGACGGAGGGGAGCCATGCTGCCATCCGGGCAAGGCGGGGTGCCTCCCCCCCGTGGCTTGCATTATGGGTGCAAGGTGGGGTCCAAACCTGCGGCCCCTGCGTCTCCTGCTTCAGGCGGCACAGGCCCCCAGGAGGGCAAGCTGACCAGCCATCCAGTGTAGAAACGTGCCTGTGGCCTGTGGTCCGGAAATGGGGGTTTCTTTTGAGTTGAGGAGGAGGAGGGAGGGTCCTGGGCCACCTACTGGGAAGGAAGGGCCCTGTAAATCCCCACCTTCCCCTTGGCTGTTCAGGAAGGGTCGCGTGTCGGACGCAGGACCTCCGGACAGCTTTGTATGGTGGTGGAGAGGGAGGATCCAGTCTGAGCGAATGGTCAGAGGGCTCGGCGGTGGCTTGCGAGGAAGTCCGGGAGTGGGGATGGGGGGACATGGGGTGCCTTTGGGCCTGAGGCAGTGGCCACGGACTTCCCAGAGAGGCGATGCCGGCAGCAGACCCTCCCCCAGGCGCATGCTACGTGAGTTCGTGTGGTTAATACCTTTCATCCTCATGCACCGGGAGGTGAGCTAACATCACCTGGATAGGAATTACGGCATCCGCGTGGTGAGGGAGGGAAAGGAGCTGAGGTGTGACCTCACTGGACCCCCAGACTCTGTGCCGAGGACGCACCCTGCACAGTGTGTGCGCTGAGGACTCCAGAAGCCGGGAACCAGAGTTCCTCACCCCCATGGTCCTCAACCCCGTCATCCTCCGGAGGGAGCGGTGCGTCTGCTCACAGTCGGGAAACGTTCTCCTTGGATTTCCTCCGCTCTCTGCAGGAGTTTTATTTTTTGAGACCTCGGTCAGATTGCTCGGACTGTTCTTATCTTCTCCGAACAGTTCCCTTCTGCTCTCCATCCCTTGGTGTCTCTTCCCCACCCACATTCTACAACCTATCTTTCATCTTTGCAGTATTTTATTTTGGGGCAATTCTACATTTTTATTTTTATTTTTATTTTCAGTAAGCTCCTTTATCCAACGAGGGCTTGAACTCATGACCCTGAGCTCAAGAGTCGCTCCACGGACTGAGCGGGCCGGGAGCCCCAGCCATCATGTGGTTCTAACTGGGGTGTCGTCACTGTGACCGACAAGCTGCAGCAGGGGGGCTCGCTGTTCGCCTGTGCTGCGCAGTGACCGCCACCCCGCGTCCGGCTGGCTTGGTCACTGGGACACGCTTACAGGATTCTGTGTGCGAGGAAAGCTGATCGTTTCTAAAACTTCCCAAACCCTTCCTCTCCACCTGCTCCTCGCCCGCAGCTGGCTTGTCACTTTTTACACAGGCAACGTCTTCTCAGATCTCCCGGGAAAAACAAAGGCACTTTTATTCCCAGAATCCCATCCGTGTTCTCCACGGTCATCGCAGTGGTCCACCTCGTCCTTCCCTCTCTTACATCTTCTCA